TAGTAATATAATCTAAGCTTTTATCTGGCTAAGTGTATATTACAAAACCTATGCTGGGGACCAGATATTTATGACACAAAAGTTAAGAAGTGACAAGCAAAATGACAACTATTATTGCCAGTGTTAGTGGTGATGATCACTAGAGCTGCCCTTTGCCATGCGTCCTGTGACGAGGAAGAAGTCACGCTGCTGAGGTCCGTATGGCAGGGCTCTCCCTTCTTCTTAGAGGCTCCCTAACTATACCTCAGCCCACTGACAGGAATGTCTAGGCCACCTTTCATCATAGAACTGAGGGCAGAAGGAGACCAGCCACTCCCACACTCCCTCAGATTAACTAACACATCTCAAAAAGCGATCAAAGAAAGTGACCAGTTGGTATATATCTCCTCGGAAAGATTGCCAGGTTAACCCTAACAATGTATACACACTGTAAATTCCATATGCAGAAACAGGGTGTCTAAGGACTGCCCTCTGCTCAGCGATTTCCCCAGAAGGAGTGCTTACAAATGGAGGTGTGCAAAAGCCACACAATGAATCAGAAACTCATTCAGCTTAACTTCTCCTGAGAGCCCTCCTTTGGGGGATAATATTGCTCTTTCCTTTCACAGCTAGGCCTGGACTCGCTACTTAGGTTTTCAAAACGAATAAAATGCATCGTTTAGAAACAAAGACGTAACCGGTAAAACTACAGAAGAAAGAGAAAAGGCAGAGGCAGGAGAGGACTGGTCGTGGAGAGAAATGGAGGGGACTGTAAGTCCCTGCTCCTCAGAGTGAGGTCCATGGGCCAGAAGCACGGACATCACGTTCCAGTCTGTCAGAGATGCGGAATCTTACACTCTACCCAAAACCTACTGAATAGAATCTGCATTTAATAAGATCTCCAGGTGTTTCATAAATGCATTAAAGTTTGGGAATCACTGTTCTAATTACTTATAATACTATATTTTTATACCTGGAAGGTGGGTACACTTAGTATTATTCTCTAAAGCGTATACATGTATTTTATATACTGTTTTGATTAGTGACACTTCTCTAATCCAGCCTACAAATGGACTTCCCATCTGTAAACTGGCAAGTGGGCATCTTTAAAAGGTGGGGGGTAGAATGCTACATGAATCTGTTCTTCAAACAGTAAAAATTCAGATATGGATAAAACTTCAGAGATCACATAACCCAACCTCTTTATTTTATGGGAAAAGAAACCATCTGATTCAGAAAGGGGCCTGCTTTCCCCAGGGTTGAATGGCTAAGCTACTGTAGTAAAGTCAGATGAGGGCTAGAGTCTCCTAGTCCCCCGCAATGCTCTGTGTCCTGCAAGAATGCTGGTTTAGGACATCACAACTGATTTTTTTTTTTTTCTTTATAAACAAACGTTGAAGTTAAAAAAAAAAAATCAGTATTAAAAAAAGATAGGCCAGGCGCGGTGGCTCACGCCTGTAATCCTAGCACTATGTGAGGCC